AAAATGTCGATACATTTTCCCTTGCCTTATGATTTATCTGCCGGGTCAGTCGGAATTAATTAATAACAGCTAGAATATTAAAAGCGGCTTTATGTAAATTTTGTGATCAGCGATCCTTGACTATGCAAATTATAGCTCGACTTGGGCTACAAATATTGCAAATTCGAGTGAGATTCGTCACGGTTTGATTGCGTCACGTTTGGATGATATTGTGAGCCACGGAACTACTTGAAAAATCTGAATCATAGAAGACAGTAAAGAAATCTCTATAAATATTCTTTGTATCATTAAACCTAAATTAATTAATAGCCTAATAAGCATCTTGTACAAACCAATTACATGTCTCTGTAATAAAAAATCTCTATAAATATTCCTTGTATCAGTACCAATTACATCTTGTTCAAATCAATTACATGTCATACCAACATGTCTCTGTAACAAAAAAAGTCTATAAATATTCTTTGTATCATTAAACCTATTACATCTTGTACAAACCAATTACATGTTGCACCTGTCTCTACAAGCTGAACAGTGTAGCATAATTTACATTCCATTGTCCCTGATCCAGTTATGACTATAAACTATGAAAATGAAAATGTGAATATCTGAAATATTGCAACAAACGTCGATGGAACATTTCGAAAAGCATGACAAGACACTTAAGACTGTAAGCCACCATCAATCATTCGATCAGGGTGAACATGTTTTTATTTACAGTTTTCTTCCTTTGCTTCAGGGATTCTTTGTCTCCTACCTTCGATGTAATGTATGCTTCATTACGAAACGATTAGCATAACTTCAAAGGCGAGTTCGATCCAGTTTGGTTAACGGTGAACGCTGCGATAATTACATATCAGGTGCCGAAGAGAATGTACTTCCTACCCCACCCACGCAATCACACCGTGCAAAAATCAGTGGACTTATCGATAATTCCTACGGTGACTTCATCGATCTTTCTTTGTTTTTTAATGAATTAATTTATGAAGGTTAATTGCTTTTCATTGTCGGAATGTCGTTTCGCTCGGGTGAACATTATTTATGATCTTCGTTATTTTTACATTATGCAAAATACTGTTTGAATAGGTGAAAACTGATGTTTGTAGTCAGACTCACTATAGCAGATTATTAATAACAGGAGTACTTTCAAATTTATCTTTCAATTTGTATGTCACTGTCTCAACGATAAGAAAGCTTAAAAGTTTCTTTTATTTGTTTATCCCATAAAATATTAATTTAAGTAAATTTATTGCCAGCCACACATGATTCATACCTTCAACATATGAAATTGATAAATCAGTAATTTTTAAAATTGAGAACTGTGAACGTCAAAATTTGTGTACACCACAATCTTCAAATTTCTAAACCACACAAGAAGAAATAAAGACGTGTACATTTTTTCACAATAAAAATTTGAAACGTTACCCAAACGTTACACATATGATCAACATATGAAATTGGTAAATTAATAATTTTTTAAATTAACCCATTGTAAACGTCAAAATTTCTGTACACCACACTCTTCAAATTTCTAAACCACACAAGAAGAAATAAAGACGTGTACATTTTGTTTTCATAATAAAAATTTGAAACGTTACCTAAACGTTACACATATGATCATCATATAAAATTAATAAATCAGTAATTTTTTAAATTGATCCACTGTAAACGTCAAAATTTCTGTACACCATACTCTTCAAATTTCTAAATCACACAAGAAGAAATGAAGATATGTACATTTTGTTTTCACAATAAAAATTTGAAACATTACCCAAACGTTACACATATGATCATCATATAAAATTAATAAATCAGTAATTTTTTAAATTGATCCACTGTAAACGTCAAAATTTCTGTACACCATACTCTTCAAATTTCTAAATCACACAAGAAGAAATGAAGATATGTACAATTTGTTTTCACAATAAAAATTTGAAACATTACCCAAACGTTCCACATATGATCAACATATAAAATTAATAAATCAGTAATTTTTTAAATTGATCCACTATAGACATCAAAATCTCTATACACCAAATTCTTCCAATTTCTAAATTTGAAAAAGAAAGAGTTTTTACACCAGAAGAAATAAAGATGTGGTAAGTTTTGTGTTTACAATAAAAATTTCAAATGTTACACAAGCGTACAAAAGGTCGATGGCGTGAAACATAGCCGTTGGTTCTGAAAAAGGAACAGGTGGCTTAAACTTGAAAAGCACAATCGATTAATTACCTTACGCGCGTGTGCACGTGCTTCGATCCGGAAGAAATCAATCGACTATGATACTTTGTGGCACCCAATTAATCTCTACAACTAGGAAGCGTAGTTCTTGGTTGGATCTCTGTCCTTCAAATTTACGCAACTATTTCTGCGTCTGAAGCGGGCTGAATCGATCTTGCGATAAATCATCGACTACCATGAACGTATCTTTTATTACGATCCAGGTGCAATCACGAGACTACCTTATTTGTAGTTGCAATTTGTGACACACGTACGAGTTATTTTTGCTATGATTGGAACAATATGCGATGATTGAAACTATTATTAATTATTAATATCTTGAAAACTTGTATTAAAGTGGTGATTGATTAACCTTGGTAGAAATACCTTTTAACTTAAATGAAGGAAATAAAAATAATTTTAGAAGACTTCTATTAGAAAAGTAATCATTCAGTAACCTTGTTAGAAACACCTTCTAATCTGAATGATGAAAGTCAAAATAATTTTTGAAGACTTCCATCAGGGAAGTAATGATTAATTAACTTTGTGGTAGTAACACCTTTTAACTCAAATGAAGAAAATAAAAATAATTTTTGAAGACATCTAACAGAGAAGTAATCGTTAAGTAACCTTGTTAGAAACACCTTCTAATCTGAATGTAGAAAGTCAAAATAATTTTTGAAGACTTCTATCAGGGAAGTAATGATTAATTAACTTTGTGGTAGTAACACCTTTTAACTCAAATAAAGAAAATAAAAATAATTTTTGAAGACTTGTATGAAAGAAGTAACGATTAAATAACCTTGTGGTAGAAACACCTTGTGACCTGAAGAAAATAAAAATAATTTTTGAAGACTTCTATCAAAGAAGTAACGATTAAATAACCTTGTGTTAGAAACACCTTATGACCTGAAGAAAATAAAAATAATTTCTGAAGATTTCAATCAGAGAAATAATAATTAAGTAACCTTGTTGGTAGCACCTTATAACCTCAATAAAATAAAATTATTTAAAAATATCAGGTCAGTTATATTTTGAGAAACTCGTCCTATTATTCATGCAAATAATATGCGTCACAACCTACCCAGACAATGGGTCGGTGAAAAAATTTTGATTCAGGAATTCGACCAGGTTAATTGCACGTCGCGCAATTAGAAAGAGGTGGAGATTATTCGAATCTTCTTCTTTGTTCGGTATTTTCATCACGCACCCAAGGACACCTGATTTCTACTGAATCACCTTGATGCATTCTGTGAATGACGCAAATCCTGATGATTCGCCGTCGCCTTTCACGTGGAATCCCCTTTCAAATTTAAGAGCTTTAGACTTGTTTGGGAAGTTTGTCTCTGAAACATCTTGCGATCGTAAATTTTTTGTTTACTGAATGGGAAAAACGAATTTCGTGTATGGACGAATGCAAAATGTGTTCGAATATGACTCAGAGGGCGGTCTTTCTTATTGTCAGTCGGTGGATTCTTTTTTCTATAGAAGAAAATAACTAGAAGAAAAATATGACTAACTACTTAGAGAATGACTCTTCTATTTGTGGATCTGTGTGCCATAACATGGGAATATTAGTGTGTGCTGAAATTCTGGATTGTTTTATTTTTAGTACTAATAGCCTCAAATCCCAAGCACCCCAAATCCCAAGCGCTTCAAATCCCAAGCGCCCCAAATCCCAAGCGTCCCAAATCCCAAGCGCCCCAAATTCCATGCGCCCCAAATCCCAAGCGACCCAAATCCAAAGCACCCCAAATCCCAAGCGCTTCAAATCCCAAGCGCCCCAAATCCCAAGCGTCCCAAATCCCAAGCGCCCCAAATTCCATGCGCCCCAAATCCCAAGCGACCCAAATCTAAGCGTTTCAAATCCCAAGCGCCCCAAATCCCAAGCGTCCCAAATCCCAAGCGCC